TGGGGCTGAAACCCCAAGACCCCCCCCTCCCTGCTGGACAGAAGCCACTGCCACACCACCCTGCTGCAAGGCAGAAGTCGTGAGCTCCCTCCCGCATGTGCTAGATGAAGACTGGGGGGCCTCCAGGACAATTTGACAACCCCTGGGGCCGCTAACAGTCAGGGCCTGTGGGGCCCCATGGGGCTGGGTGTGGCACGGACACACAGTGACCGAGACTAGGCAGTGGCTGCAGCTCAGACTGGAGGGGCATCGGTAGCTGAAGGGGCCTGTTACTCTGCCCGTGGTGCATGCTGGATGTCTTGGCATGTCCCCAGTACCCTCTACCTCTCCCCAGAGGACAAGCCCAATCAGCTGTGCCATGCATCTGCAGGGGTGTCTCCGCCCCTGGACCACGGACTCTGTTAATGGTTCATTCGCATAGGAATAAGAGGCTGGAGCAGCCCCTGAAAGAGAGACAAGCAGGAACTGTGCAGCTCCACAGACACCCAGGTCCCCCAGCACTGTGCCATCCCCTGGCACGGCGTCACCCCCTGGTACGGAGGAGTGTTGGGGGCCCCTCTAGCCCTGTGCAGACAGCTCCGCAGCACACGGCCCCACAGCGGCCGCCTTAAGTGTTGCGGCTCTGGTGAGCACAGCCCATGCAGCCTAGCGAGTTACTGTAGTGTCTCTGGTGAGCCCGGAATATACACTGGTGAGTTGTTGTGGAGTTTCTGATGAGCGCGCGGCCCACACTGACTGGTTATTGCAGGGCTCTGGTGACTATGGGGGATGTGCAGACTGGTGAGTTATTTTAGGATCTCTAATGAGCCGGGAGGCTGTGCAAACTGAGTTATTGTGAGATCTCTGGTGAGCTCAGGGGATGCACACAGACTAGTGAGTAATTGCAGGGTCTTTGGTGAATATGGGCTGCGCACAGACTGGTGAGTTAGAGTTTCTGGTGAGCACAGGATGTGCATACTGGTGAGTTATTGTGAGGTCTCTGGTGAGCCCAGGGGCTGCACACAGACTGGTGAATTAGTGCAGGGTCGCTGGTGAGCTCAGGGGCTGCACACAGACTGGTGAGTTAGTGCAGGGTCTCTGGTGAGCTCGGGGCTGCACACAGACTGGTGAGTTAGTGCAGGGTCTCTGGTGAGCTCGGGGCTGCACACAGACTGGTGAGTTAGTGCAGGGTCTCTGGTGAGCTCGGGGCTGCACACAGACTGGTGAGTTAGTGCAGGGTCTCTGGTGAGCTCGGGGCTGCACACAGACTGGTGAGTTAGTGCAGGGTCTCTGGTGAGCTCGGGGCTGCACACAGACTGGTGAGTTAGTGCAGGGTCTCTGGTGAGCTCGGGGCTGCACACAGACTGGTGAGTTAGTGCAGGGTCTCTGGTGAGCTCGGGGCTGCACACAGACTGGGAAAAGCACTTTTTGCGGAAAAGCGCCCGTGGCCAATCTAGACGCGGTTTTCCACAAAAAAGCCCCAATCGCCATTTTCACGATCGGGGCTTTTTTGCAGAAAACAGGACTGTGCTGTTTACACTGGCCCTTTTGCGCAACAGCCCTTCTGAAAAAGACTTTTGCCCGAACGGGAGCAGCACAGTATTTCCAGAAAAGCACTGATAATCTTCCATGAGATCGTCAGTGCTTTTCCGGAAATTCAAGCGGCCGGTGTAGACACCTGGCAAGTTTTTCTGGAAAAGCGGCTGATTTTCTGGAAAAACTTGCCAGTCTAGACACAGCCCTAGAGTTTGTGATTTTTGCAGGGCTGTGAGCTGGCAGCTTGTCTCGGGGGCTGGGAGACAGTCGCAGGGACTTTATGTGTCTCCCATCCCACAGGTGCCCTTGCACTGCCCGGCTGGAAGCTGCGAAGGTCTGTCCCGGCCCGCGATGCTGCTCCTGGGCTGCTCCTCCAAGCTGTGGCTGCTTGACACGCTGCCGGTGACCAGGATTTGCCCTCGCTCCAGGGAGAGAACGGGGAAGGTCCCTCGGTGGCTCCTGGGGCACATTTGGGGCTGGGGCGAAGGCCCTTCCCTGGGCAGGGCAGCAGTATGTGGGTCCCTTCGCCTGGCAGGGGGGCGGCTGGGCAGACTTTCCTGGATGCACAGGGGCAGCACCATACCCCAACCCGTGACCATTCTGAGAGCGATCCCTGCAGTGCCCTGGGGCCCGAGGCTGGACCCCCCCACAAGGGCCTGCAGCCCCCCGGCCTCTCCCTGGCTCCCCACAGCAAATGCCTGCGGGGGGCTTGGGCCGGGGCCCTGCAGGGAACGCCCCCGTGTGCGTGGGCAGAGACACCGGCAGCCTTGGCAACACACGGCAGCGGTGCACCTGTCCCGGGCTGGCAAGGCTAAGCCACAGCCCAGCCAGTGCAGGGGTGAGGCCACGTGGCTGCCCCTGCAGAACAGACACACCCCTGGGGGGCTGCTTGCAGGGCCCCACACAAGAGCCCCCCAGTGTCTGCTGGGCTCCAGGTGGTCCCACCTCCCCCCCAGCATAGCTCCTGTCAAGGGCCTGGGGCTCCCCACATTCTCCCTCCTGCCTGGGGGCTTCCCCCCCCCTTACTGGGACGCAGGGCTCCCTTGTGCTAGAACAGAGCTGCAGCAGCTGGGGGCTCCTCTCTGCCCCCCAGGCTAGCAGCAGGGAGGCCGCTGCCGGCCCAGAGGAGCACGAGGGGGG